GTCACTGTAACGTAATTTCGCATTTACATAGCTTTGATTTGCAAATGATCATTAGTTTGCTGGCAAAAAGTGCGAAAAAAGTGTTACGTAATTGTACAGTATCAAGCAAAAGATATGGAGTTTTTTCCAACCCAGTCTAAACGCTGTAACCATCCACCCAGACGTTCACCAAAACTGCGTCGATTGCCAGGGTCCGCAGCGTAAAATATAATGGCTTTTCAGTTAGTTTTTTTTTTGTTGAAAAACTCGATTTTGTACTGCTACAGGGAATATCTGAATGATACTCATGGAAAATTTTCTAAACAAACAACAGTCAGCTTTTCAAAAGACAAAGATTGTTGGAAAAATTTCAAAATGGAAAGGATCAATCAACCTTGTGTAGGGCAACATCCATAAGTGGTGCCATCATAATAACAATAATGGTTAGCAGGACAGGTCGTGGAAGCAGCCGTTGAACCGCCACAGATAATGAAGTTCCCGTTCGAATCCGTAAGCGCTGTGCCTTGAATGCACTGAGGTTCACCTGAAAATAAATTTCAGTATTTTCCGTGGACGTTTAAGCGAATGCATACTTCTTGCATCTCGGCAATAATCCTGACACTCTTTATACGTCTCAAAGTTGTTCGAATTTCCTTGACAACCAGAGTAGATAAACTCTTCGCAGTTTCCGGTTTTTGCGTTGAACCACCATCGGTTCGAGTACGTTCCACAGTTACCCTGCAATACTCGCTTGCATTGCAATAGTGACCCCCGGGGAAAAGCCCCGCAAATAGCGCGTCGGCGCTCGCGCGCATACCTGCTCACGCGGAAGTTTGCACACGTACTGCGGACGTGGACAGCAAACACCACCGAAGGTGGTCGAGCCTAAAGACTGTTGCCATCGAATTCATGGTCTCTGCGTTTAACGAAAATTGAAGCTATTTCTGAACTGTACTCGTCAAACAAGGCATGGCTTTTGCATAATTGAGAAAAAAATGTATTTGACATCTTGATGACGAGTACAGCAGAATCAACTTCAAAATGTGAACCTGAGGTACTTTCGCAGGAATGTGTAGATGGGCATGAGTTGGCACCACTTCCAGTGGGAGAACATTCCATATTTCGTTCACCGGATGAGTCCTTCAGCGGTTCACCAGCCGAGCAAAGAACTAAAAGGAAACGAATAGGTGTGAAACTAGACAAGATTTTTTGCGAGCATTCTCAATATCCAAGGAGAAAAATTCAGCTCAGTGAGCTAGGAAACAAAACCTTACTTCTTGAGCAGAACTTTTCGCAATGATCCTGGGAAAGGAAGTTATTGAAGTTTCCTCCTTGTCCGAGATACTGAAAAATAATCGATGAAGTGGGTCAGTTTTCGCAATTTTGCAAACTTTCAAAAGAAGACTTCCACCTTGATCATACTAGTTTCCTTCCCA